TAGTCTAGTCTATAGTCTAGTCTATAGTCTAGTCTATAATCTAGTCTATAGTCTAGTCAATAGTCTAGTCTATAGTCTAGTCTATAGTCTGGTCTATAGTCTAGACCATAGTTTAGTATATAGTCTAGTCCATAGTCGAGTCTATAGACCAGTCTTTAATCGGGTCTATAGACCAGTCTACAGTCAGTACCAGTATATTGTCTAGTCTATAGATCAGTCTATAGTCGAGTCTATAGACCAGTCTATAATGGAGTCTATAGTCGAGACTATAGAACAATCTATGGTTGAGTCTATAGACCAGTCTATAGTCGAGTCGAGCCTATATACCGGTCTATAGTCGAGTCTATAGGCCAGTCTATAGTCGAGTCTATAGACCAGTCTATAGTCGAGTCTATGGACCAGTCTATAGTCGAATCTATATACCAGTCTATAATTGAGTCTATAGACCATTCTATAGTCGAGTCTATGGACCATTCTATAGTCGAGCCTATAGACCAGTCTATAGTGGAGTCTATAGACCAGTGTACTAATTATATTCAATCAATTTAGAGATTTTCTTGTTTTTCTTTTCTAATAAAAAACTGTTGCTTTGGAAAGAATATTTCCCACCAAGCTTATAAATATTAACGCCTAATTAAACATTTATATCTCGAGCAAAAAAATAACATCAATTTCCCATAAATCATTTGAGAACAGCGATAATTTTATTTTTATATAAAAATCTTTGACACAAAAGTTTAAACACACACACACACACATGTTTGTGTAAATGTAAGTACCAAGTACTTTAGTACTTTTTATCTAGTTTAAAGAAATTCAGAGACAAACTGATGACGACGTCTCAGCAGCAGCATATTTAATTTATAATTAATTGCTTGTAAAAATAGCAAGACATTTTGTGTGTTTTTTGTATTGAAGGAAAAAAATTTAAGAACATAAAGACAACATTATGAAAATTAAATTTAATTAAATTGTCTGTGTGGCAATAATACATTTTGTGGTTTAAATAGAAAATAAACTAAGGGGTTTCAAGGTTTTTGGTGAAAGAAGGAAATTTTATTGTTTTGATTAAAGGTTTTGTCATATTAACGAAATTTTCATTTAAGCATTTTCAGGGTTAGATGGATACAATAGATTGTGAAAAATTTAGTGACAATTGTTTTAGACACTTAATAGAACTATTGTATTACCAAATTTCACAAAACAAATTTTCAAAAACAAAATCCTTAGCCAACAGCCACATGTTTTATTTTGAAAAAAAATATTACACAAAAAGCAAAATTTCGCACATACTCAATCAAAAGTACTTAATCATTTAAAAATAATTTTAATAAACAAAATTTTTTGTTTATTTAACTAGAAACTGCAATATTCAATTGGGGGAAAAATATTATTTTCAAATTGTTTATTTTATTTCAAGATGAGAAAGATCAAAAACATGTTGTGTTAAATTGCATCTGTTGCAAGCTAAAGGCGTTAATGGCGACTGCTACTGCTGTTTTAGTATGGCAGATTGCCTGCAGCAGACACACAAATCATTTTTAAGTTATTTAAGACTATGAGCATGTAAATGTTTTTGGCCTTTATTAGCACATGATTAATAAGTGGCAAAATTTTAATTTATTTAAAATTTAATAAAAAAGAAATAGACATTTATTGGAATGTAAGCAAAGTAAAGAAAACAATTAAAACTGGGATTCTTATACATTTGGGACAAAAATCGAATGTGTTCTCTAAAGGTCCAAAAATTATAGTTACTTCAAACTTAAAGCTAAAATTTTATTTGTTTTCTTTAAAGCTTTCAAACTTTATTATCCAACCAACTAAATCTAATATCATACATTTTATTACTAAATTAAAACCACATAAAAAAAATACGTCGCAAATCAATTGAAAACTTCTTTTATATTCAAAATATCTGTTGATCGAAAATTTTTAGTATGGGATTCAAACACAACACAGTAACACTGCCGTTAGTTGTGGCTGCTGTTTGCTACCACTTCAGCAGTAGCAACAACTTGTTTGAAAGAAATTTTTATAACAAACAATAACAATAAACCTTAAAACCACCATAAAGGAAATTATTGTTATTCAATGGCAATAAAAATCTTACACTATAAAAGTAACAGAACAAAACATACAACAACAAATAACATATAGTATATTATTAGTAAACTTTCGCGCACTAGGGGAAAAGGGAAGACTCCAAAGAAAGGATAAACTAAAACATAACCAGAAGAGAACTAGAACAGAACTAGAACATAACTAAAATAGAACTAGAACAGAAGTAGAACAGAAGTAGAACAGAACTAGAACAGAAGTAGAACAGAAGTAGAACAGAACTAGAACAGAACTAGAACAGAACTAGAACAGAACTAGAACAGAACTAGAACAGAACTAGAACAGAACTAGAACAGAACTAGAACAGAACTAGAACAGAGTTAGAACAGAACTAGAACAGAACTAGAACAGAACTAGAACAGAACTAGAACAGAACTAGAACAGAACTAGAACAGAACTGGAACAGAACTAGAACAGAACTAGAACTAGAACAGAACTAGAACAGAACGAGAACAGAACTAGAACAGAACGAGAACAGAACTAGGACAGAACTAGAACAGAACTAGAAATGAACTAGAACTGAACTAAAACTGAACTAGAACTGAATTAGAACTGAGCTAGAACTGAACTAGAACTGAATTAGAACTGATCTAGAACTGATCTAGAACTGAACTAGAACTGAAGTAGAACTGAGCTAGAACTGAACTGAACTGAACTAGAACTGAACTAGAACTGAACTAGAACTGAACTAGAACTGAACTAGAACTGAACTAGAACTGAACTAGAACTGAACTAGAACTGAACTAGAACTGAACTAGAACTGAACTAGAACTGAACTAGAACTGAACTAGAACTGAACTAGAACTGAACTAGAACTGAACTAGAACTGAACTAGAACTGAACTAGAACTGAACTAGAACTGAACTAGAACTGAACTAGAACTGAACTAGAACTGAACTAGAACTGAACTAGAACTGAACTAGAACTGAACTAGAACTGAACTAGAACTGAACTAGAACTGAACTAGAACTGAACTAGAACTGAACTAGAACTGAACTAAAACTGAACTAGAACTAAACTAGAACTGAACTAGAACTAGAACTGAACTAGAACTGAACTAGAACTGAACTAGAACTGAACTAGAACTGAACTGAACTAGAACTGAACTAGAACTGAACTAGAACTGAACTAGAACTGAACTAGAACTGAACTAGAACTGAACTAGAACTGAACTAGAACTGAACTAGAACTGAACTAGAACTGAACTAGAACTGAACTAGAACTGAACTAGAACTGAACTAGAACTGAACTAGAACTGAACTAGAACTGAACTAGAACTGAACTAGAACTGAACTAGAACTGAACTAGAACTGAACTAGAACTGAACTAGAACTGAACTAGAACTGAACTAGAACTGAACTAGAACTGAACTAGAACTGAACTAGAACTGAACTAGAACTGAACTAGAACTGAACTAGAACTGAACTAGAACTGAACTAGAACTGAACTAGAACTAGAACTAGAACAGAACTAGAACAGAACTAGAACAGAACGAGAACAGAACTAGAACAGAACGAGAACAGAACTAGGACAGAACTAGAACAGAACTAGAAATGAACTAGAACTGAACTAGAAATGAACTAGAACTGAACTAGAACTGAACTAGAACTGAACTAGAACTGAACTAGAACTGTACTAGAACTGAACTAGAACTGAACTAGAACTGAACTAGAACTGAACTAGAACTGAACTAGAACTGAAGTAGAACTGAACTAGAACTGAACTAGAACTGAACTAGAACTTAGCTAGAACTTAACTAGAACTGAACTGAACTTGGACTAAACTATAAGTGTACTACAACTGAACTGGCAGCAGTTCTTTATATCAAAAAAGAAAGAAATTCTTTGAAAAATCGCGAATTTTTTCGAAATCAATATTTATGAAAGAAAAATTTCGAGTTGTATATTTAAAAGAAAATTTATCTTTTAAAGAGATTTTTGCAACAAAAAGATGTTTTGTCTAAAAATACAATTCGTGATATAATCGTGAACTTTATCGACATTAAGAAATATGAAACGGCATCTGTAAAAAGATGTCAAAAAACTTGATAAAAAATTCGCTTCTTTAAAAAGTTTTTTTAGAAAATAATCGCTATTTTTCTCTAAATTAAGAAATATAAAATAGAAAATTTGTAAATGTTTGTCAACATGCCTGAATGATGAAACTTTCAAGAAATTTCTTACTTTTTTCTTGTCAATTAAATAAAATAAAATTCCCGAAATCTCTGAGGTTAAATAACATGAAAGCAAAAAATCTGTTATAGTTGTAAATGGAAGTAAATTAATAGTAAACACATAGAAAATAGGCATTTTGGAGAAGTTTGTTGAAAATTCACCCCTTATGTTGTCAATCAATGAAAATTACGAAAAATTCGCGAATTTTTTTAGATCAAAAAATATGACAAGAAAAATCTTCTAGAAGAGGCCAGGAGAGCAACAACATGAAAATTTATGAAAAAAATTACTTTTACATTGTATTTTATTTCAAAATTTTTTAAGACTTTTACATTAAAAAGTCTTCTGCTCAAAAAACATAAACTTTTATCATCAGTTTTTTTTTTTTATCAAAAATAACAATCTCGAATTGTGAAAACTAGCGAATTTTTCGAAATAAATTAGCAAAAAAATATATAGAAAGTAAACTGATTTTAAAGATTATTAGACATAAAAGACATCTGCTTTAAGAAAAATTGAGACAAATGACGATTTTTTTAAATTCAGAAATAAATTATAAACTTTAAAAGTTTCCATAAATTTTATAAAATAAAAAATACTTTTTAGTATAAATTCCAACTTTTATATAAAATATTCAACATTTAAATTAATTTTTGTATAATTTTTTGAATTAATTATATTTTAATAAAAAATATTCATATTTACTTTGTTTAGTGGAAGATTTTTAGTTTTAACTACGTCTTTAACACTTTGTTTTAATAAATTTCATTTGGTTTTTCTAATTTTTCTTTAAAATTTTAATTTTAACACTTTTCTCAATTAAATTTTACAATTTTAGATTTTATAGTATTTTTCTAACTTTTTTTTACAATTTAAAAATTTTTCTTAGAATTTGTTTTTTTAATTTTAAATTTCCCAAGAAATTCTCTTTAAAAATAGCTTGAGATTTAAAGGTGTGATTTTTGTTTTATTTTGCAAATATTTAAAAGCCACAATTGTGTTTTCTTAACTTTGCGTATTTGAAACGTTTATCACGAGTATCCTGTGCAGACTGTTTGAAAATGGTTGGAAAACGTGGCTTTTTACGTGAAGCGAAAACAATATAAAAGAGTAGTAGTTTACTAAATAGACACACTGCTACTCTAAGTGTAAAAGAAACAAGCGAGTTTGCAGTCGAACAACAAAAAAACACTACAGAAAAACAATAACAAACAGCCGATTGTATACACGAAGTAATGCGCAAAATAATAACACCAGCAACAACACACACGTACTTTTTTAATATCAATGAAAATTTGAATTTAATTCACACATATACAGTGTTGCCAACTTAGTGCTTTTAGCACTATTTGCGGTGCCTTTTGGTGTGCCAAACGCGGAAAATTTTGCTCATGGTGCCTTTTTTCAAAAAGGCACTACAGTGGTGCTTTCTAATTTTATGACAGTGCATTTAGTGCTTTTTATACCCACCATCAAAAAAGATGAGTTGATTTTGTCACTCCGTTTGTAACACATCGAAATATTGGTCGTAGACCCACAAAAGTATATATATTTTGGGTCCTTATTAAATTCTAAGCCGATCTAACCATGTCCATCCGTCTGTTCATCTGTCCGTCCGTCTGTCTGTTGAAAGCACGATAGGGTTAGATCGGAAAGAGCAAGCGAGTTAAATTTTTCCACAAATATTTCTTATAGGTAAGGTTTGTTTGGTATGGCAAATGGGCAATATGGGTCCGCAATTTCGCATATCCCCCATACAAGTGACCCCCCGAAAAACAGCTTTAACAGTCACAACTGTTTTAAACATACGAGTATAGCGATAAAATTTGGCATAAATAAGTTTTATATGCGTCAAAATCTCTGTACCAAATTTTATGGGAATCGGTCCAAAATTGACCCTACCCCCACATATGGTCACCTTCAAAAATTGATTTTAACGCTCTTTACTGACTTAAAAATACGAGTATAGCGGAGAAATTCGAAATAAACAACTTTTATACAAACGTAATCTTCCTACCGAATTTAATTCGGATTTTTCGGTAACCTACCCTACCCCCTATTAAGGTCCCCTTAAAAATATGAGTACAGCGATGAAAATTGACAAAAAATAAGTTTTATACAATTTTTTTACACAATTGAACCTATCCCTAATATATAAAGCCTCCATGATTACTTCATCGTTGTACTCGCAATAAAAAGATTTTTATTATAATTCTTTATTCCGAATTTTATGACGATATAACTGACCAACAAAACAAAATCTATGTACAAAATTTTATGGGTATCGATTAGGGTGATCGATTATTCGACATTTTCCAAAAACCGGTTTTCGAATAGTTCGAATAGTTGACATTTAAAAAAAACCGGTTGATATTTTTCAAATTCAGAAAAAACCGGTTAACCGGTTTTTCATTATAAATTAAAAAATATATTTTAATTTGAAAAACTTAATGTTTATGTGTAAATTTGATTAATAAAACATGGCCCGAAATGATTTTTAACAGTTTAAAAGATTATAACTTTAGATCTAGTCGTCTGATTTACATTATTTCTTTAATATGAAAAAATTAGGAAAAAAGTGGGACACTTCTGTTAAACATAAAGTACTATGTAATCCCAGCTTATTTTAAAAGCCCTGTTTAGGAAATTTGCATAGGCATTCTAACACTTCCTTAAATTTCAGCCGTAAATTAATTAGTGTAATTGGAATATAATCTTAAGATTGATAAAATTTTATCAAACAGTTATCAATTTTACAAATAAATTGTTTTAATTAATTAGGAAAATCAAAAAAGTTTAACTAAAGGAGCTGTAGAAAAATATAAGCTAGCTCCTCGGCTCGAATATTTTTAAAATTTAGACGGGCTGTATTATTATTTCCTTAAAAATTTCATTTAAATAATCTTTGAATACAAAGCAAATAAAAGTATTCGAAACCGGTTTTTAAAAAGTGAAAAAACCGGGTTATTCGATATTCGAAAAATCAACATTAAGAAAAAACCGACACTGGTAAAGCAGAAAAAACCGGTTTTAAAACCGGTTGAAAAATCGAGTCGATCACCCTAGTATCGATATATAATTGTCCCAACCCCATATAAGTTCCCCTTTAGATAATAACTTTTACGCTTATGTCTGAATTAAAAATTCGAGATCAGCAATGAAATTCGAAACGAATAAGTGTTATACGAAGTCTTTCTACCAAATTTTACGACAAACAGTTCATAATTGACACTACCTCTGATATATATATATTTTGTTTTTAAAAATTAATATTTTGTTAATTCGAAGATCACGTACATAATTGAATTAAGCATTATCTCCCTGATGTTTACAGAGAAGCATTCCTTTTACGTCATAAGATTTGATGGTGGGTATATAAGATTCGGCACAGCCGAATATAACACTCTTACTTGTTAAAATATTTTAAAATAATTGTGAATTTCAGGAGGTAATTTATTTAATTAATATTAAACATTTTCTCTATAATGTTAAGAAAACTGAGGGATCGTTCTTTGATCTTTCTATTTGTACCGCTTTTTGTTGTTTATTAGAATACGATCAGTTTAATAGTTTACACTAAGGACTAAATTTTTCTTAAAAACTGTTTTATATTTTTTTACACGGGTGCTCTAAAGTTTTTTTTATTTGTGTTAAGTTTTAAAAGCAAATATTCTTCAAAAACAAAAAACAAAATATTCAAAATACGTTAAAATAAGTTATGTTATTCACTACCAGTGAAATTAAAAATTTTTCCAGAACTCAAAATCCTTAAAAATAATATATATAGATTTTGCAAAAAAAATATATTTCATAAGTTTTGTACAATTTTACAATTTGGATGTGGTTACATCGGTTCGCCAGTTGGTAGTGTGCCTGTCAGTTTAAATGTTTAATGACATTTTACTATTTTTAAAAAACTTTTAAACAAATCAAGGAATTTGAAAATTTCTCATCTTATTGATCTAATATTCGTCAAACATTAGTTTTAGTTCTTACGTTACTAAAAATCTAACTCACACAGATGAAAGACTTTAGTATGACGCATGTTTTGTTTTGTAGTCAATGTTCTAAAAAACGAATTTTGGAGTCTTGTAGGAAATGAGCGAAATAATGTGCAATTTTTATTAAAATAAACAATATTTGACTAAAAAACGTTAGTGCTTTTTTACCCATTTTCAGTTAGAAAATTACGCTTTTTTACCCCTTTTTAATTTTTTTGCGCGCGTTTTGCTTGACCAATGTTGGCAACACTGCACATATACTAAATAAAACCAACAACAGTAGGTAGAGAGATAGAAAGAGAGAGAGGGAGTCTAAGGAAAATTAAAAACAGAGAATTTTCCGCTAAAGAGAGAGTGGTTATTGTTTAGCAACATTCTGCATAAACATGTTGTTAAAGAGCAACATTGCTGCTGACTATTCTCAAAACTAAAAAGTTTAGCTTTATATTCTGTCATCTATTAGGCTATAGACTAAACTATAGACTAGACTATAGACTAGACTATAGACTAGACTATAGACTAGACTATAGACTAGACTATAGACTAGACTATAGACTAGACTATAGACTAGACTATAGACTAGACTATAGACTAGACTATAGACTAGACTATAGACTAGACTATAGACTAGACTATAGACTAGACTATAGACTAGACTATAGACTAGACTATGGACTAGACTATAGACTAGACTATAGACTAGACTATAGACTAGACTGTAGACTAGACTATAGACTAGACTATAGACTAGACTATGGACTAGGCTATAGACTAGACTATAGACTAGACTATAGACTAGACCATAGACTAGACTATGGACTAGACTATAGACTAGACTATAGACTAGACTAGACTATAGACTAGACTATAGACTAGACTATAGACTAGACTATAGACTAGACTATAGACTAGACTATAGACTAGACTATAGACTAGACTATAGACTAGACTATAGACTAGACTATAGACTAGACTATAGACTAGACTATAGACTAGACTTTAGACTAGACTATAGACTAGACTATAGACTAGACTATAGACTAGACTATAGACTAGACTATAGACTAGACTATAGACTAGACTATAGACTAGACTATAGACTAGACTATAGACTAGACTATAGACTAGACTATAGACTAGACTATAGACTAGACTATAGACTAGACTGTAGACTAGACTATAAACTAGACTATAGACTAGACTATAGACTAGACTATAGACTAGACTATAGACTAGACTATAGACTAGACTATAGACTATAGACTAGACTATAGACTAGACTATAGACTAGACTATAGACTAGACTATAGACTAGACTATAGACTAGACTAGACTAGACTATAGACTAGACTATAGACTAGACTATAGACTAGACTATAGACTAGACTATAGACTAGACTATAGACTAGACTATAGACTAGACTATAGACTAGACTATAGACTAGACTATAGACTAGACTATAGACTAGACTATAGACTAGACTATAGACTAGACTATAGACTAGACTATAGACTAGACTATAGACTAGACTATAGACTAGACTATAGACTAGACTATAGACTAGACTATAGACTAGACTATAGACTAGACTATAGACTAGACTATAGACTAGACTATAGACTAGACTATAGACTAAACTATAGACTAGACTATAGACTAGACTATAGACTAGACTATAGACTAGACTATAGACTAGACTATAGACTAGACTATAGACTAGACTATAGACTAGACTATAGACTAGACTATAGACTAGACTATAGACTAGACTATAGACTAGACTATAGACTAGACTATAGACTAGACTATAGACTAGACTATAGACTAGACTATAGACTAGACTATAGACTAGACTATAGACTAGACTATAGACTAGACTATAGACTAGACTATAGACTAGACTATAGACTAGACTATAGACTAGACTATAGACTAGACTAGACTAGACTATAGACTAGACTATAGACTAGACTAGACTATAGACTAGTCTATAGACTAGACTATAGACTAGACTATAGACTAGACTAGACTATAGACTAGACTATAGACTAGACTATAGACTAGACTATAGACTAGACTATAGACTAGACTATAGACTAGACTATAGACTAGACTATAGACTAGACTATAGACTAGACAATAGACTAGACTATAGAC